TCCTACTGCTGTCTGCGCTTATGCATCCCAACATTGCATTTATGTTTCGTTCTTTACGCAAGGATATCAGGTTCTCATGAGTCCGTTAGGAAATGAAAGGTGTGGCACATGGCATTTTTGAGTCAAAGTGGGATTACACTGTGCAGCATAATGTTGGCAGAATGGGAAGCAAAGGAAAACCTCCTGGTGCACCATCTTCTGAGCTTTAGCGTATTCTCATATAATAACACTTATAGTCGCTTCATCGGTCACGAGTGTAAGGAAGCGATTCTGTCTGCTTGCAGGGTGGGGCTTTCTGTAATTAGCAATCATTAACTAAAATAAGAAGCTTTATATTTTCAAGAAAATGTATTATAAAACATCGTACTGCTAGACATACTGTAGAGTTTTGAAAATAAAATAAATGAGGTATGTAATGACCAAAACATGAAGGGCCCATAGAGCCAAGATGAGCAATTTATACTATACAAAACCATTAAAGGCATAATTTCTTAGGGTCACTCAAATGTCATAGTTATCCGGACTTTTAATCTCATAGTTCAACACACACACAAGAAGGACAGGAGGTTCTGGTAGTCAAGCACTACTTTAGCTAACGAAGCCCCCGCAATGAGGCAAACAACTGTGGCACTTGACGTCCTTCCTCTTCTGTCACATGTAATGAGCACTTATAGAGTAAAGTGCTGTGCTGAGTGTGTGAACTTAACAGATAAAACACATATCTGGGGGAAAAAAAATGGAGAGTAATGCTGAAATACATGGAAAATAGTCTGAGGTAGATTTAGAATCTCAGTGAATGTACACTTTCATGAACTAATTAGCAGGACACATGCAGAGCTCAGGGAGTTGTGTGTGAGCCTGGCCTTTATTATTACTGTAATTCTGATTGTTGGTACACATTTTGCAAATTAAGCAACAAGATATGTATTTGTTAAATTAAGCTACATTACAAAAACATCACAGTTAGCATTAAAATAGTATTTTATTTCAAAACAGTTTGTTTTGACCAGTGTGTCCTGGTTTGACAGACCTCTGGTGAACCTCTCAAACCAGAAGCATCTGTGATTAAAACACATACAAATGGTGTTTTTTAATGAGAACTCTGACCGTGCCATCTCACTGTGATCTGTAGGCCCATGACAACTCCACGGCTACGCAAATCTCTTCGCTTGTCCTTTATTTTATGTTCATTTTTATTGTCATTATTCCAGCGCAGTTCCTCCTAAGTTGAAACTGCAGTCCATCCTATTTGTGCTTTTTTTTTTTTTCCTGTTGGCCAATTCTCTGCTGTACTGCAATTCCATGAGCCAAGCCCTGCAGGTGGTCCGTACAAGTTTGGAAATTGAACCAAACAATTACAAACCAAATACTATGCTGAAATATCAAAGTGTAAACTATGTCCTTTGGCTCTTCTTATGAGAATAAGGAAGAAGTGTGCATTGTGTATGTATGTGTGTCTAATGTATGATGCTTCTAAAACAGCATGTCGATTTAGCACACAACACTAAAAGCCTGGTAAAGTTCAAATGATTTCATTTTGTTGAGAATCTTTTTCCGTTTAAGCAAAAAGAGAAAAAAACTACTGCAGCTGAAATCTGAAAAAAACAAACAAAAAAGAAAAAACAAGGAAAAGAAAAGCCTGGAGCAGGTGGAAATGATCATCTTGAAAGTAAAATGGGAAAATCATACATCATACTTTAATCAAATTGTATTAACTGTTGAATTTCAAGTGAAGTGACTTTAAGGCTGCAGCCATTTGAATCAAATGCTCAGTTGACCCATCTGCTGTTTGTATAACTGTGTCGACTGTGATCACTCCTCATTGTCCAGATGGAATAGATGGACACAGGACACTAGGAGACAAGCCGGGTCTGGCTGGCAAGAGGGACATGGGTCAGGAGGAGGACTTCAGAACAGGTTTGTCTCTCTCTTACACAGAAACGGGACGATCGTTCTCTGTCTACTGTGTAAGATGCACTCCAGCAACAACCAATAATCACCACAAAAACACACCCAGCAACATTTCTGAGGCCACTCAACATTGTAAATATAATTTTCTCTGCTGCTTGTCAGTGAGAGTCACCTGAAGTAAAGTTGAAAAGGTAGTGGGCCCAGAAATTGTAAAAAAAAAAAAAAAACCACAACAACACTGAACTTGATAACAAGTTCAGTGAATTTAAACATATTCATTTTTAATTAAACACCTTTTCAAATTACAAATGCAAACTTTAAAGAGATTTAGGAACTTTACGTGTCAGTAAGTCTAATATGCTCATCATGTTTTTGTGGTCATGGCAGTTTGAAATGAAATGTGATTTGATTTAACTGTCACTTGAAAGACAATGCACCCACAATTCAGTTCACCCCATTGAGAACACAGCCTGCTGAAGTGAAATGTGAATGTGTGAGTCCCGTCTTACAGGAGCCTCGTGGCATTCCAACAGTGGCAGGACTGACTTCATGTCTCATTCTGATTAGGCTTTCTTTACTCAACTTTCCCTGAATGCTGCTTTATTTCCTTTCTATCATGCATTGTTTAGTTCTATACTATCACTTACATTTCTCTAAAGGACTCTACAGGTTCAACTTGTATCAGTATGCCATGGTATTCGAAGGAGATTCCATTTCCCCATATGTTCTTATAACAGCTCCTGTCAAACCACATGGTGTGCTACCAACTTTAAAGGACACAATGAAAGGCTGGTCTTTGTTGTTGTGCCTCCACAGGTGCCCTGAGAATAGCAGATGAAGACATCATTCATACCGTCATTGACTTCTTGTCGTACCTCAAACTTAAAGGTATGCTTCTCATTTCTGTTTCAAGCTGCTTAAAAGGAGAACTGGTCATATGTCTGAGCACCTGTTCACATCAAAAGAGTTTTCTGCAGAACAGATTTGCATTCAAAAGCTACAGTGAGCTCAAACTCTTAAAAAGACACCAATCAGACATGGATGGTGTCTAAATAGTCATCATACCTTGCACAACATGTGAGACTGAAAAACTGCTAATGCATGATTTGAGAACGTTTATCTGATTTATACGACAGCCCATAAATGCAGCACTCCTTCAATACTGGTTAAACATAGTAATGCTCTTTAATTTCTCTTAAAGGTAATTTGCTCTTTATACAGCGTTACCACACTGGTGACCCATTCCAAACAACAACATAATGTGTAAAAAAAACAAAAAAACAAAACACATTTGGCTTCACCAGTCTATCACAGGGCTACACTTAGAGACAGACAACCAAGCACACTCACATTCACACCTACGGACAATTTAGAATCACCAATTAACCTCAACATGTTTTTGGACCTTGTGGGAGGAAGCTGGAGAACCCAGAGAGAACCCACGCTGCACGGGGAGAACATGCAAAGTCCACACCGGGACGCGAACTGGCAACCTTCTTGCTGCGAAGCAACAGTGCTAACCACTGAGCCACCTTGCAGCCCACCTACCAACAAATTTAAAGTAAAAAAAAAAAACATCTGCATGAATAAACTACTGTTGGAACAGAACATCATAACAATTTGTTAACCTATTTATTATCAAAACATTAGTTATGTAAGTTATTAGTTATGTGGTTAGCACCGTTGCCTCACAGCTAGAAGATCCCTGGTCCATGTCCCAGTTAGGACACCTGGGACCTTTCTGCCCGTGCAGTGTGGATTCTCTCCAGGTTCTCTGGCTTCCTCCCACAGTTCAAAAGCATGTTGAGGTTAACTGGTGATTCTAAATTGTCCGTAGGTGTGAATGTGAGTGTGCTTGGTTGTCTGTCTCTAAGTGTGGCCCTGTGATAGACTGGTGACCTGTCCAGGGTGTCCCCTGCCTTCGCCCTAAGTCAGCTGGGATAGACTCCAGCCCCCCACGACTCTCGTGAGGATTAAGTGGCGTATGGATGGATGATATCATATAATATACAGTCATAGGTTTAAAGATTCTGGTAAATTAGTATAGTAAAAAGTGCAGTAATGTTGTGTCCATATTTGTGTGTTTACAGAGATGGGAGCCTTGGACAGCCTGCCTTCCTCTGTCACCTCAGATGAACTGGCCAATCCCTAATGAGTCTTTCTCTCCTGTTCACCTCGTTCTACTAATTCGTCTACTACAAACTGTTACATTATTTTAGCACTAATTTGTTCTGGTTCCAAAACTTTGATTGATTGATTGATTGATTGATTGATTGTCCCCAAATTTAAAAATGTCAAATCTTTCTGCTCCCATGTAAATAAAGGTTTATGTCCATTCAAAGTCAGATAGTATCTGCTGACTGCAGGTGAACTATAGGGACCGCTGCTCAGAAACCAACTCTGTATTATCTTCTTAACTTACTGTCATCTGATTTCAGAGAATAAAGTGAAATAAATAAATGGCACTCGACTCACATGACAATGTGAATTTCTTTCTTTCCACTATTCATAATCACAGTATTTATTACTCACATTTCAGCTGTAAAAAACAATATATTGTTTCACTTGTTTGAAGTACTGTAAAATATCCACATGAATGCCAGGACCCCAGGTCTCAGCATAACACTGAACTGTAATGAGATGACCGATGTTGTTTATTGTACCTGTCAGTAGTTTTAATGCTGTGACTGATCAGCGTAAGTTGTTTTAACCAAAACAGGATGAAACCTGTGCACATAAAAACCAGGCAAGTGCACATGATGCATGCAGTTCTGCTTCTTGTGCATAAATGCAGTTCTCTTCCCTACAGGCTTGCAACTGCTCAAAACCATGTTCATTCACCAAGCGGACTCGAGACTTTGGAGGCAGGGCTGATGATTATGCCCCTCCAATTGCTTAATGACTTATTAACCAAATGTTGTTGAACCCTGAACATGGTGGGGCACTGTAGGCCCCCGCAGCTTAGAGGCACTTGCTTCAAGTTACAGTAAAAAATTAAAGAGCTTAACCTGCCTTCTGTAGCTACTGCCCCACATCAACGTCATCCAAGAGCCGAAACATGCTCAATAATTTATACAAATCGGCCAGAGGGTAGTGGTGCAAAGAACCTAAGTCCATATAGTCAAACACTGTACTGAAGGAAAACTTTGTGATCTTTGTTTTTTACTTCAGTGTTGGCATTTTCTATTATTTTACACATCTGCTCCATCACAATGAAGAGGCAAATGTTGTCATTTTTACTCTGAAACTTTAATCTCTAGTTACTTTGCATATTCTGATTAATAATCCCAAATATAATGAAGTAAATGTATTATTGGAAAGTCCTGCACTGATGATTTATTATTAGATTCAGATACAGCTTTACTGATCTTCATGCAGGGGGAAAATTTACAAACTACCCAGCAGTAAATAATAAAATGAGCTTCAGCTTTACCAGCTGCAACATTTAGAACAAAGTGACAAAGACATGAATGCATCAACAATTATGATCTTAATAATATATTATGTTATTCTAAAACAGGTTATTTTGCATAATAAATACTTTTACTTTTGATACCGTAAGTATAATTTGATGCTAATACTGTGGTAGTTTTACTTAAGTAAACATTTAAATGCAGGACCTTTCCTTGTAAGAGTATTGTCACACTGTAGTATTGTCAGAGGGTCAGACACAGACTGGAGACTGTGGCTGTTGACAGCAAACAATCAAAGGAGAAGCAGTCAGTGTCCTGCCTGCAAAATCTCAACAGTTAACTTGACAAGCAAGAGAGAGTTGAGTGTGGTTGTGAACATATGGGCAAGGTTGAGCGAGTGCTCGTCGCATTGCTGTCCTCGCTTCTCTGGCTTTACTCAGCCCAGCAACCTCAGTCAGGCTAAGCAGGCACACATCCCTGGTTCTCAGCTTGTAAAGTTAGTCCAGCGTTTCTGAATCTAGCTATAAGCATGTTCGCTTGAAAAGAGCAGTGTTAGCACCAGATGACCAACCACAAACATGGACAGGTGTAGAGTTGCATATTTATCATGAAAAGAACAAACCAAATCCTGAAAAAACATAAAAGCAACACTGCTGTTGCAGCCAAAGCAAGAAGAAAGGTGGTGAAAGCGTGAGTTAAATAGGCATATCAGTTTCACTGCCTCAGCTTTCAGTAGATTAGACTATAATTACAATTGTGTATCCCATTTAATGAATGTGCTGCTGAGGTGTATTCTTCTGGCGTGGAGGACTGTTTTAGTCTTATTCCTTCAGCTGCAACCCTGCTGATGTTAAACAGTCTTATGAGCACGAAATGAACAAATAAAAATATTATTCAAATTGACAAGTAGATTTACTGTACATCCTGTCCGGTCAACAAGTGCAAGCCTGTAGTTTTTTAATTAATTTCTGCTTCAGGGTAATCAACACTATAGGACCTACATAACAATTACTTTGAAATTGTTTGCAGCCAACTGGAAAAAATAATGCAAGGACTGGAGTTCCCTTTGATGAAACTGCGTCATCTCTTATGTCCGTGCTTGTCAGGAAAGCCACAATGTTTGACAGTCTCTAAAAACTTACCTTCACTATTTGTGCACTGAGCACCACAGGATCGTCTATCAATGGTGATGCCATTTTCCAGCAAATAGGATTGGTCAGCATTTGTTGTCTGTAACATAACATGCCCTAGAGCAGGTTAGGTGCACTGCAAAAGTTACCATGATGATGTAAACCTTGGTAACGTTTAAACCTAAAGTTATCTCGCCACCTCAAATCATGCTTTGAAGTTTAGGCCTCTGAGCAGAGGACATGTTCAACAAGTTGCATAAGAGCATCTTCAGTGATTTTGTTGTATTTTTTCCCTCTCTAAGTCTTGAAACTAATAATTAAGACCATAAACTCTTGAGGAACTGTTTACTTTGGTTCCAGAACAATGAAGATGTTGGATCATCTTGTTATATACTTGCAAACACTCAGACTTCTTTAGGCAGCTAGAGGAGTCACCCCCTGCTGGCTGTTAGAAAGAATGCTGGTTTAAGGTACTTTCCTGATTCAGTGCCTCCATCCATCTCTCAGGTAATGACAAACATGGCCAATCGCATTTACCACTTGCATTGTATTTAAGCTCTCAAAGCTCTCCGTGTCGTAATGCAGAGAAGTTTGTCAGTATGCTGCTCTAGGTGTTGTGCTAAGCAGGGGTAAACAACAATGACATTAAAATGATGAATCTTTCTAGTTTATTTTCTGGTTGTGCACTTTCACAGTATCCTGCATTTTAAGCTTTTGTCTGCATTGTTCAGATGTAGCTTTGGGGGCCTGTATTTGATCACAGATCAGCTAAAGTTTTTCATTGACAGACTAGACTGGACTGGATGGAGATACTTTAGGGCAACAGATCAGTTGTAGTGAGATTTCAGGTGAGGTCTAAGTATTAGAGACAGTAGGAAATTATGTAAGGGAAAAAAACAAAAAAAATCTTGCACGTTTAAACTTTTGTTAAAATGTTTTATTTGATCATAGCACAGAGGATGTTGATGTAGATCTAAACTGCTTAGGAAGGACCAGGCACAGGGCAGTGTTCCCCTAACAGCGCTGTGTGCCAGGAGAGCCTCTGAGTTACTTTTACCATGGTAGGTTCTGTCCACGGTAGTCCTTGAATCCTCCATTGTCGCTCTCTGTGAGACTGGAGAGCACAGACAGCATTCCAGAAACGCTCTCCTCTACTGTCAAATCAGCCTGAAACACAGAAACACATGCTCACAAAAAGACTTCAACAACTGATAACACAAATAACATGGACTCAGCTACAGCTGGTTAAAGCCTGACATTCACACTGAATATATGGTATATAGTGTGTGTACATATGCTGGTGTACATCCATCCATCCATCCATTATCTATACACCACTTAATCCTCACTAGGGTCATGGGGGGCTGGATCCTATTCCAGCTGACTCAGGGTGAAGGCAGGGGACACCCTGGACAGGTTACCAGTCTATCACAGGGCTACACTTAGAGACAGAGAACCAAGCACACTCACATTCACACCTACGGGCAATTTAGAATCACCAATTAAACCTCAACATGTTTCTGGACTTTGGGACGAGACTGGAGAACCCGGAGAGAACCCACGCTGCAAGGGGAGAACATGCAAACTCCATGCAGAAAGATCCCGGTATCCTAACCGGGACGCTACCTTAAAGCCCTGCTGGTGTACAATGTAGCCTAAAAACAAGTTCTCGACACTCTCACAATCTTTCCTACACCAACAATACATGTTTCAAACACAGCAAATGAGCCAAAGGGAGCAGACAGCAGCTAGTGAGCGCTGTGTGCTATGTGGGCACTGCAGTGTGTGTTGAGTGAGTTTCCAGGTGAACTCCACACATGCTGTTATGTGTAATGTTATTTCATGAAGTACTACCAGTCATACATGGCTGCAGCTTCCTCCTGACAGCAATAATGGACAGACTCAAGACAACTGTTCATCAGTTACTGTAAACTGTTATCATAGCAAATGTCACCAAACTCAAATTATTATCAAATTATAGTATAGTCATATCAGTGGTTGCAAAGCAAAATGGAAAAGGGAAATGCAGTACATAGTCCCATTCACCAATACAAAGTAGTGAATAGCGAGGCAGAGATGTGTCAATCACATCGATAAGTGCCAGCAATAAAGGTCACTGAAGATGATTGGATTGGCCCTGCTGTCTCCTGTCACTGTGTTGTGTCTTCACAATGCTCCTGAACATCCACACTGCAAGGAAAGTCTGTTCTTCACTCTTGCATTGTATTCTTTTGGCCAAACACATTAGTGGTATCTGGAATAAATGACATCACTTTTGTCCTGCTGGTGTAAGTTAAGTTTACTGTTACTGTTGAAATTGCAAGAATATATTTAAGCATGTATTGCGTCAAGTCAGAATTTTAGTGTCATGACACATAGAGCACCTCTTTTTCACATCATGCCTGTTGCTAGTGTCCTTGCTGTTCATGCACTGACAGCATGTTGACACAGGAGGCCTTTTAGCTGCATTTAACTGAGCAAAAATTTACTGACGCAGCTTCAAGGTAGGAATACGTTGTCAAGTGGAGTCAAGAAAGGTTAGTGTCCCTAAAACAGCTCAAGTCTAGACATGTCATATGAGGCCACTGTCTGCAGGATGTACACAGAATGAACCCATTGCTGAAGCAGCTGATGGTTCCTCTTTTTACCAGCATGTACCTTGTGACTGTCAAACTGTGCTTTTCGCTATTACCAAATACGTGAATCAGATCCTAAAGGTGTCACATATATGGGCTAAAGAGGACCTATTGCCTATTAGCAATGTGTGTGTGTAATCAAGTGTATGTGCTAAGGATAAAAACTGTGTGGTAGCAGTAAACGTGTGGAGGGGGACAGTTGAATACAATATAAAAAGGCCTGACAAAGAGACTTCAGACAGAGTTTGTGGAGATTACTCCTGGTGACTGCTCACGATGAAGATCACAGAGTTCTTCACGGGACATCGCTGGAGCTGAACACTCCTTGACCGATTGAAGAAGTCCTGATGGGTCTGCAAATTCTACTCAAGAGGAGCAGCAGAACCCCTTTCTGTGTTCTGCATGAAGAAGCATTCTCTTCCTTCCCCAAATGGATGCAAAAGAACTGCAGATCTGATCGGAGTCGGGACTTCTCATCTCCCCATGAGACAGGAGGGTTTTGTCTGGGGTTCAGGACTCTGTACTGGGTTGCTGCATCACTGGAAGATGACTCCTCCAGGCTCAGGTCTGAGCAGGGCTGAGTTCACCAGCTATGGCTGGGCTGTTCGGCTCACCCTCTCCCCAAATTACTTACGAGGTTACTATTTTAGAAAAGCTCAGTTCTATAATTTTATCCCGAATCAATTGGATTAATCATATCTTAAATTGTTTTGAATGAACAATCAAGAGCTATAGCTGTGCCCCTGCTAAAGTTTTGTAATAAATATCTGATCCTGCATTTAAAGTTTATTTGGTGTGAAATTTCATTAAGTCATTTACAGTAACTGATGGTAACAGAAAGTTAGTCAGTAGTGCGCATAAGATCTTTATAGTGGTTTTTAATGGTTATTCTAAGTCATGAGTAAAACAGTATTTTTAAACAGATCCCTGGGGTTAGTTGTGCCAAAACTCTAAATTTTAACCTAGCAACTTACCAAGTGCTCGATCCATTTAAGAGGAAGGCTGCCACTAACAGGTGTATCTAGTGGAGTGATTTGACGACTGAAGCTACTTAGTTGGGTCAACTATTAGAAGAAGCGGGGTAGACGTCTGGATTAAGGCAGTTAGAAGCTAGGCGAGTTTCCTCAACACCAGCTTAAGCAGTTCTACAGAATTCTAGTAGGTCAAGGGCCGGCAGGCAGATAGAACCTGACCCTAGAAATGGAGAGCTGGACCAGTAGCCCTGTGCAGGGGTTATATCAGCGCGGATCAATAACTTACATTAGGTCCTCCCATGTCAGTCTTGACCCAGCCAGGGTGTAGAGACATACAAAGGATTCCATCTGGTCCCAAATCAACAGCTAGACACCTTGTCACCATGTTCAGTGCTGCCTATGAAAATTACAAAACAAATTGCTGACAAACACAAAAAGCACATTCCTCATTTCCTATTGTTTTCAACAAGACATCGTAGTGAAAAGCACACCACAGTACTCACAAATCTGAATTCTGTGTGATTATTATAGGTATGTTCTGACCTTAGAGGTTCGGTAGGCGTAGCTCTTGAAGTTGCCACTTTCACCCCAGTTACTTTCAATGGAGCCAAGAATGGAGGAGATGTTAATCACGGCTGCCCTGTGGATCCCCATCCCACTTGACTGAGCTGCAGCTGTCTGCAGCAGAGGCAGGAAGGCCTGAAGAAAAGAGCAGCAAGCAGAAATTACAATCAGTCTGGATGATCACAAAAAGACTAATGTCTTCAGGTTAAATTGTGTATACTGTGGATAAATACATAAAATTAAAAAGAAGTTTATGCTAAAGACTGCAGTTTGAAATCACTGATCAATGGCCAGAAATGGATTTTGATAAATAACATTTGTAGTAAAGTAAATCTGTCTCATTCTTTGAGTGAGTGAGTGAAGCCTTCATGAGCAGAGAGACAGAGAGGGAGACAGATAGATTAGATAGATACTTTTTCCATCCACTTGGGGAAAGTCAAGATGGCAGTACTGTATCACTCAAGTTTACTGTTGTTTGCAGGTTTCCTTCATGATGCAGAAAATGCCACACACAAAAGGTAGTTTGAGAGAGAATGAAACTACTGGGACTTCTCACATCCGTTATGGGACCATAATTTAAAATTTGAATTATAATGATACCCTTCTTTAACTTTCACTCAAATTTCCAAGAATACATTAGAATACATTGCAACTATTCTTTCTTTCTATGCTGGCTGTGAACTTAACCTTTCACAGAATAACAAAGCATTTTCGAAACATAATGTTTTTGTTATGAAAGTTCTTCCACTTGTTTGTCCACAGATGCTGTTTCCTTACTGAGTTTAGCTACACTCAACGCAGCTGTAACAGAACAAAGACTGTGGATATCCCCAGATTTACAGGAAGGTCAGCGTGGAGAGGAAGAATAATGAAAGTCAACAATAACTCTTAACATACAGCTACAGCCACACATCACAAGAGCATTCAGGAGACTAAAGGCCTTTTCTTGACCACCAAGATAATTCCCTATATACCCGGCGGTTATAACGCTCCACATAGAGTGTAGGTTAACCGTAAATTTTAGCACTTTTAGCACATGATGTCTAAAGCAGCCCTCCAGAACGCCATCGGATATCTTTTTCTGCAAATTCTTAACAGCAGTCACATGATGGATTCATTAGGAGGAGCTCTCTTTTTACAAGCCATCTCACAGGAAATGAGTTCATGAATGCATCCTTTTTAATCACTAGTAAACAGTAACACAGGACATTGTCACAGCAGCAGCAATACATTTCTACTGTACAACAGGCTGGTGTAGTGCTTTTCTACAAGCACAGCCTTTATCTTTTAAAATGACAACTACACAGGCACTGATATTTAATTGACCAAAAGTCAAAAAACGCTTTTTTATAGACCCCACATAAAAAAAAACCCTGTAAACCTATTTTTAATCAGTGAGAATGATGTGGCCCCTCATGAACACAAAATGTAGTGTAATCGTTAAAAAAGTTGTGGTTATTTCATGTAAAAGATGTCTGTATTAGTGTTATCACTCCTATAAACTGGGTAGGGCCAACTTGATTGGTGCTCATTTAGTCATGAATATTGATTGTACATAAACATAACTAGGGCTGCAAGGTGGCTNGCTGCAAGGGGAGAACATGCAAACTCCATGCAGAAAGATCCCAGCATCCTAACCGGGACGCGACCTTGAAGCCCTGCTGGTGTACAATGTAGCCTAAAAGAAGTATATTGTAGTGTCATAGGGTAGTTGGGCAAAGAGATGTGTGTCAGTTGTCAGCAACACTGAAGATGTTAAGATTGCCTCCTTCTACTGTACTGTGTCTCCAGTGATGCTGGAGTGTCTCCTGAACTTTCATACTGAAAGTAAAGTATTAACATGGTGTCAGAGGAAGGACTGGTCTATAGAATTTAGAGATAACCAACAAGGTTACATGCTTCAGGTCCAACCACAGCTTTCAAGAGAGTATACAACTGAAGCTACAGGTGTTACCTAGACATGTAATTTTAATGTGAGACATAATCAATTACTGGACTGTTATGTGTAGCTATCTAAACACCTGAATGGAGCAATTCAAGTTGCCACCACTACTACTCAAGTTAGGCAATGTAAGTGAAAACTGGAGATGTCTTCAGATGTACATGACTGCAAGCAGTTTAGGAGAAAACAGTACAAGAAGGTATTTCATTGCAAGCACAAGGAGAAGAGGCAGAAGTGTTCAGCATGCTCAGTACTGATTCTGCACATGATTCCACATGATTTCAGGACACAGGTGTGCCAAATAACATACCAAACAATGCTGTATTTATAAGGCATCAGTTTTGGACGTATACCATAGTAGCAGACTTGCCACAACACAACAGGCATAACATTTTTATCCTGACAATGATGATGATGATTATTATTGTTATTATTCATAATAATAATAATAATAATAATAATAATAATAATAACAAAGATATATATAACAAAGTCATTGCATAATGGGTAATTTTTTTCTTAATTTTCACAGTAATGACAATTTCTTGAGCTAATACACTTCTTGTTCAAAAGTGCATTTTGTGCAGTTCTTGAGATTGTCAAGAACAAAAACTCAAATGGAGGTAATAACCATTCTTACATGCTAACCATTACTAGCAGTACAGAAACCCATTACTATAAGATGAGGTTTCTTTTGCAACATTTTTTTGTAAGAAAAATCAGCAGCACATACTGAAATAATCTAAAAAAAATTCTTAATAGCTCTCCTGCTGTTTTCGTTTTCCACAAAAACAAGTTGCTGACACTCTCACAATCTTTCCTACACCAACAATACATGTCTCAAATACAGAAAATGAGCCAAGAGAAGCAGACAGCAGCTAGTGAGCGCTGTGTGCTATGTGGGCACTGCAGTGTGTGTTGAGTGAGTTTCCAGGTGAACTCCACACATGCTGTTATGTGTAATGTTATTTCATGAAGTACTACCAGTCATACATGGCTGCAGCGTCCTCCTGACAGCAATAATGGACAGACTCAAGACAACTGTTCATCAGTTACTGTAAACTGTTATCATAGCAAATGTCACCAAACTCAAATTATTATCAAATTATAGTATAGTCATATCAGTGGTTGCAAAGCAAAATGGAAAAGGGAAATGCAGTACATAGTCCCATTCACCAATACAAAGTAGTGAATAGCGAGGCAGAGATGTGTCAATCACATCGATAAGTGCCAGCAATAAAGGTCACTGAAGATGATCAGATTGGCCCTGCTGTCTCCTGTCACTGTGTTGTGTCTTCACAATGCTCCTGAACATCCACACTGCAAGGAAAGTCTGTTCTTCACTCTTGCATTGTATTCTTTTGGCCAAACACATTAGTGGTATCTGGAATAACTGACATCACTTTTGTCCTGCTGGTGTAAGTTAAGTTTACTGTTACTGTTGAAATTGCAAGAATATATTTAAGCATGTATTGCGTCAAGTCAGAATTTTAGTGTCATGACACATAGAGCAC